GACAGAGTGTGACATGATTGTATAGCGTTGACATGCTTCATGGTGCCTGGCTCAGCTGGGTTTAGAGAGAGATCCTCAGATAGGATCGCGACACATTGACAGAAATAACACTAGTTCCCTGCAATTCGGGGAAATATTATAGTCAACGAATTTGGTGTGCAAACCCAGGTATCACAATCCTGCTACACGTTGAAATGGCTCATGCAAAGCCTGAGAAGGATGCCGCAGTACGAGGCCATGCAGAGACCAATCTCAAAATTATCTTGGGTTCACGAGTCACCTTAGAGCTGTCCAAAGTACACATTTCGTCAATAAGCTTGTCAGATTACACCCCGTCCAAGGTACACGCGGCTCATAGCAATTGGCCCTACGCAATCCCTTGAGGCTAGAGGGACCAGAATCTGACGAGTCTGCAAACTTTGTACACTTGATCAATTAGAACAGCATGCCACTATGTCATTAGTGCACTGCGTCTATGTGCATGCTAAGGTCGCGCTCGCTATGCACCGACTCCCCACATATCGGACACTCGACGTCTAATCTCCTCCGCAGCGCATCATTTGGCACGCTGATTGGCGGAACTACTGGTGGGTCAAGCATCTCTACATCCTCCGACGTGCTCGCCCCGTTGCGGCCCCCCTCCACAGCAGTGGTCGGCTTTTCTTCGCTTGGGGCAGGATTGAAGTGCTCGTCTAGATGCCGATTGAGAACCATCTGAGCGTCCGAACCCGAGAAACTTCTACCGCACACGGGACACTCTACGGAAGCTGGACCGCTAGAAGCAGCCGTCCCAGCCTCACGGGAAGCTATAGGGGTTTCGACGGGTAGTTGCGGCAGGAGGGAACCCTTGGTGCTCTGCCCGTGCACCGCAGCTCGGTGCACGTCAAAGTTCTTCAGCATGATGGAGCGCCCGCAGTCCTCACACGTGGCAGTACGAGAGCCACAGGATGCTTCGTGGGCCGAAAGCCCTTGTATCCGGTCCCGGTAGTCGTCGGGAACACCTCCGGCAGGGACGAGGTCTCCACAGAACCTGCCAGTTGTCAAGAGCACGTGTGAATACTTACCGGTCAAAATTCCTCAATCTTGAAGAGCATCTTTGCTACGCAGTTGCTAAGGAATGTGGCCAAACCCAAACGAAAGGAAGAAACCGCGGAACTCTACCCGGCGAACTGCTCGTCTACCAATTCGAACAACGTCACATCACAGCTTCGGCAAGAGATTACGGAACACACGGACCAGTTCGGAAGAATTGTTCTCGAACGCCCTGTTTGGACCACGATCTTGTGTAAAGAGGGGCAAATGAATCGAAGCAAGGAAATGTTAGCCGACGTCAACTCGAAGGGACTGGAGGACAGTCCGAGTCCGCTCTCTTGAAACACAGAAACCCAAGAGGACATAAAGCAGGACATCAAAGACCTGGATCCTTAAAAGCGGCAAAGCCGTGACACAACTTAGAACAGGACCCACCTGCACATGATGGACCGCAGTGGGCAGTCCTCCGCCTTGTGCCGCACCATATCTTCCATCACCAGCTCCGCCCCACACTCGCATTTCAGGGGGGTGTGATGGACCCGGACGTGCTTCTCCAGCTCCCCCCCCGCCGCAAGACCCTTCCCGCACTGCTCGCAGTGCACGTGGTTCTTCATCTCGTCTCTCCGCAGAACGAGCCCGCACCCCGGGAAGGGGCACACCGCGTTGTGCCGGCGGCAGTAGGCCCCGTGAAGGACCGCCGACGCAGCCGGAATGGTCTGCCCGCAATTAGGGCAGCTAGTGTACCCCGCTCCCGGCAGGGCCTCCGCGGCGCCACTTCCTCCGAGCTTCTGACCCTTCGTTTCCTGCTCTTTCAGTGTTACTGACAGGCGGAACTTCGTGGTGCCTTTGTAACCGTGGACTCCGACGCCGAAACTGAGCTGCCCGTCGGTCGGAGAAAGGGTTCTGAGAGCGTCCCCCGAAATAATGACGGTTTTGGTTCCCACGTCGTGGCTCGAAAACTGGTGGCTGTGGGGGTTGGGGTGCAAATTAGGGTGCGCTGCAACGTACAAATCGGCGTCTGCTCCTTCCCCGCTACCCTCTAGCGTAATCACGAGATTGCTCGTTCCCTCAGTAATCGCGCTTGCAGATGCGGAGTCTAGGGGAAAGCGGAAGAAGCGGGTGTTGCCTTCGGAGATTTCGCCAGAAACAGGCGCGGCGCCGATCTTGAGCTCACTCCGCTTGAGCACCTCCGCACGCTCAACGGTCGGCTCGATGTCGACCTCCATGTCGGTGTCGATGACAGTGACCTGCGGAAAGTCGAAACAGCAAAAAGTCAGCGGCCTTTGTCAGATTAGCGCGTCTTGTTCGAGATCTGAACAAAAGATGAAAGTACTTCAAACTTTTGGAACCAACGAAGCTCAAGCGAGCTCAAAGCAGATCAACGTTGCAGTGGGAAGGAGAGTGGGAAGCAAATCTGTGTCGAGCTCAATCAGATACATATTAGAAAAGCACTAATTCTGAGTATGAGTCAGCTCAATAGCACAGGAAAGCAAGGCTCAAGCAATGACGTCGTGCCTCTGAACAACTGACATCGGCCTCCAAATTAATGAGCTCTCAGGGGTTGACTTCTGATACGCTGGTGTTGAAAACGTGACTGTACCGTACATCGAGTGCAAGGGCAAGCGAGCATCTCAGGCTACTTTCGTGTATGGAAGGAAATATTCCAGTGTATCATCAGGGAGATTCCGTGGATAGAAATCTTTTCTGTGATGCGTCATCATGGCAAAGCAGCGGCCATATCTGTACTTAAGGAGATTTGAGAAAATGACAGAAAAGGTTTCTTCAAAGAGAGAAGCAAACGACGTCTTAGACTAAGAGGAGTTTCGAACCACGATCCCAGCGTACCTTCCATCAACCATCCACTTGTTGCATTAATCACCCCAAGAAAGAAATTGTCATATCATCGAAGGACTCACGCCCTTGACGTCAATGGTTCAATTCGCAGTGGCGACCTTCCTTAACAAGAACCAGAAGGGAAGAAGTGGCCTCTCACCTGAGGCGCCGGCCTCAGTTCCACCACTCTCAGCTCGTAGTCCACCCCCCCATGGCGCACCACTAGCACATCCCCCACAGTCAGCGTCGCATGCGTTCTTAGCGCCGTCTCCAGCGCCGCCTTGTGGTTTGCCACGTCAGCAAATTCGGTGTTCCCCGCCGGCTGTAGCTTTGCATACGTCCCTTTCGACAGGCGCACGTACTTAACCACCACGTCCCGCCCCTCCCAGCCTAATTCCCCCAGATCCTGCCCCCAAAGACAATTAGCCACATGTCTGGGGAGCCCCACGAAGCCCTCTTCACTGGTGAACTCCAGCACCCCTGCGTGTGTCCGCCCCGTTGCTTCTTCCTGGGAATCAGCGACTCTGTCCCCAGGCCCTATTAAGGCTGCCGCTGCCTCAGCTGCGGTCTGCGCCTCTCTCCTAGCTGCCACCTCGGACGTGACGATCTCAAAGAATATGGGGCCTTTGTCGAGCGCCCCCTGCATCTGCAAGTCCGCCAGGACAGACTGGGGCAAAGTGATCTTGTCGCCGCTGCTAGTTACGTTATGCCCAGGCAGGAGGGAAGTGCGGAGCCTGCGAGTGAAGCGGATGCCCTGTCCGGCGGAGATCTCGTCTTCCAGCTTCTTGCGTGCGGCCTCTGCGGCGACTGCATCAGCGAGGCGACGCTTGCGGTGCTCCTCCTCAAATGCTTCCTGTACAAGGGTAAAGTGAACAGAGTTCAAGCCCCGACTTTTGATCAGTGAGGGGGCAGAAAGGTGGCTAAGCCTTTTATTAGGACTTTCCAATATGGTTTGATCAGTATAGCCAATACAATCAGTGGTGCAAAGGAAGGAGTAAACAACAACAATGAAAAGAGGATGGAGTAATGCGTCCAACCAGTGTCCTCCTCTAAACCCATGATTTCTAAGCTCAGCGGTCTGACAGAGAACAAGGGCAAATTGTTGCCTGATCCTGAAATTACTTTCTTGTCCTGTTCTGACATGACTTTTCCCAACGTCAGCGAAGGCCAACATTGTGCCTGATCCGCTTTGGCGCGGCTCTTACAAGACTGCCTGGATATGGAAGTTTTGGTACAACGTGCTCCTTAAGAACTCATATTGAGATCCCATATTATTCTCAAAGAAAACCCTTGTGAAAAGGTGGTGTGACTTGAAACCCCAGAGGAACCTTTCAAACGTTGAGCGGGCACATGTCTATTTGCATTTTGAAAAGTCTGCACATCAGGAAGTTGAAAAATGCGCGACCAACTGTCAGCATCATAGCAGGCGACCAACTGTCAGCATCATAGCAGGAAATAAACTCTTGCACACTCTTTCTGATGCTAGCAAACCACAGAAGATATTTGTGCAGCTAAAACGAGTCTCACCTGCCTTCGCTTGGCTTCATCTTTCGCTTTCCTCTCTTGTTCCAGTCTTCTCCGTGTTCTCTCCAGGCGAGCTTTCTGCTCTGCCTCCAACTTCTTAGCGGCAGCTTTGATCTCATAGTCCATGATGCACTTCTACCTTTGACTCAATGTCAGGATATGTCAGAAAATAAGTCACTGAAGTGGTGTGACAGGAGGTTTTTCCTCCTGCACAATTGTCTGCGCCCTTCCACTTTCAAAGTCCTGAAAAGGGTCCAAGGTGCTGATGATGGACAAGGCTGAGAAGGCCCTGGTCAGATCATGGGGTCAGAGAAAGAAACGCAAGACTCGAGAGAACGTCTCTCAATGTTGCCCTGACGAATTTTCCGAGATCGGGCAACGTGAGGAAGCAACGTGAAGCCTAACGACTGGAGGCGCCATGATCCTTCTCGAACTAGCTATGCATGACAGCCTGTGCCTGGCAAACAGGTAGCTCTATAGAAAGTCTGTGGATGATTCACCGTCGATGCTATAATTCTGGATGTGAAGAACGGTAGACCGTCGATATTCCAAAGCTATCCACACCGTCGATGTATGCACTGGCAGGCTGGTCAAGGAGCTTCCTAAGGACTTCCGCCTGTCTAGTTGCCGGGCTACCCACACGATTACGGCAGGCAGGCAGAGTAGAGCCTGAGGAGAGGCTGGCGCCAGGAGAAGGATCAACGCAGCGGCTCTT